TTAAAATTCTGATATATTTTTCCTATCTTTTTCTCACACATATTTTCATGTAGCTATGATCAGAATATATTTGTAATTCAGAATTCCATTTTGTTGACTTAATATAACAAATATTTCCGTGTGTTACTAAGAAGTCTACAAAACTAAGTGACTTAAATTTCATATTCTCTAAGAACAAATTTCCAGAAATAGGGCATTTAAAAATCTCTTCATATGTATTACCACCAAATTATCTTTCAAAATAGTCTCACCAATGTATTTTCCTAACAAGTATAAAGCTGCTGTCTCATTAAATTCTCACTAGCTATATTACAGTCACATCTCATATTTGACAACTTTGTACTCCACTGTATAACATCACCACCATCATTCTGTTAGTCACAATTTATCTTGAGAATTAATCAGATTTTACTTTATTATTTGTGAGTGTGTGTGTGTGTGTGTGTGTTTGTTTACAAATGTAGGTGCCCATGGAGGTCAGAGGATGTGTTAGATCCCCTAGAACTGAAGCTACAGGCAGTTATGAGCCACCCAACATGGGTGCTGGAAACTAAATCCTGATTATCTGCCAGAGCAGCAACCACTGTTAACTACCGATCCATTTCTTGAGCCCCATATTTTGAGAATTTATACCAAAGACATTGGAATGACTTAATGTATTTATAGTCACCTTAAAAAAGTATCACTTTGTCAATTTTGAATAACAAGAAAAATGATTTTTAAAGTACTTACGTATTCAGGACTCTTGCTATTCCAAAGTCCCCGAGCTTTGCAACCATCCCATTCTTGCTAAGAAAAATATTCTAAACATAGAGAAAATGTTAAGTTGTTAGAGACAGTTCACAAAAAGAAACAGATTCATTCTGTCTTGGTCTTCTCTCTGAGCTGTTACCTGAGCTTTTATGTCCCTATGTAATATCTTCCTGTCATGAATATGTTTCAGTCCCAGAGAAATCTGTACAAACCAGCCCAGGATCTGTAGAAGGAAATACAGAACAAACTTCTTGAAGAGTCTACTAGTCACTGAGATATCTTCATGATAGCATTTGAAAAGAGACATAACATAGTGTGCATGTATTTATAGAAATGAAGCTGGTAAGTGCAATGCATTGTTTTCATTTTACAGCTGGCTTTCCAGAAAGGCACTTCAGATGTTGTTGTTCTCAAAGTGAACTCCATGTGCAGAAATAATAAAGCCAAGGAGAGAGGGAGGCCATTCATGGTTTCTTTTCTATTTCAAGATAGGGTCTCACTGTGTAGCCCTGCCTGGCCTGGAATTTGCTATGTAGACGAGGATGGCCTTGAACTCACTGCCTGCCTCCACCACCTCCCCACTCTACTCTGGAGTGCTGAGATTAAAAACATGTGCCCCCATGTGTTCTTTTTGCTTATTTAACACTGGGCTTCCCTGTACAAGCACAATGCTTGTCCCCTGTCCCTGTGGTCCCCAGTCACACTAGTTAGTGCCATTGAAAAGGATTGAAGGTGCTCAGGATAGAGAAAGAAAGGAAGAAACAGAATCTATGAGTTTATTAGAAATTGTATATAACCTATATTTATATATGTAATATAAAAGTAACAAATATTTGACTTTAAAGCTCAGCTTGGGGCTACAAGCTCAGTGGTAGAGCACTTGCCTGGCATACGAAGGACGGCTTTGTGTTCAAACTCAAGAACTGAAAACTGAAATAAAAGTTATTTTTTTTTCTTTTTGTGGGATTGGGGTTCTCAGGTTTATTTCTTAGTGATAAATATTTGTTTTATTTTATTTTATGTATTTACTTATTCATATATTTATTTTGGTTTTTGGAGACAGGATTTTTCTATGTAGCTGTAGCTGGCCTGATACTCACTAAGTAGCCCAGCTAGAAATTATGACAATCCTCCTGCCTCAGCCTCCTGGTACTGGGATTACAGGCATGTGCCTCCATGCACAGCTTTATGTTTTTCTTTATATAGCGGACAATGGGCCTCTTTATTAAAACATGTTCTATGCTGATTCATTCATAGAGATTCATCTAAAGCACTTTAAAATTTCATTCATTGATTGTCTGACAAAGTATATAGTAAGAGGAATAGAAAACAGATTATATCATAGGCATTAGGATTATCTTGGATTTTTCCCAACAAAAAAAAAAAGGTAATCTGGCTGGGCTTGGTGGCACACCAAGCACTTGGGAGGCAGAGGCAGGTGGATCTCTACTGGGGACCTCTGTTATGCAAAGTAGAAGCCCCTTCACGTCCAGACAGCTCATGCAGCTTGGGATTATGTGCTGGGGCTCCTTTCATAGCAGGGTGCCTTCCTGGCATCTTTCCTGACTCTCCTTTTGAAGTGCCCGCCACGAATGCTCTAAACACAAACATGGCCTCTGGCTTTAGGAATACCATGCTTTCCTGTGATTTTTCAGGCAGACAGCAGTCTGGCAGAAACCCACTTCCATATGTAAATACAATGTCTCACAAAGTACCTAACAGCCAAAGCTTTTACCACTACCCCCACGGTATAAATATCCTAGTCTTCTCTCAATCTTTGGAGCTAGAAGCAGACTTGGAGCTAGAAGCAGACTTGAAGCTAGAAGCAGACTTAGAGCTAGAGCAAGAACTGGGTCACTGAGACTTGGAATAAAGAGCTGTAGACTGAGTTCTGTGTCTCCTGCCTGTAATCTAGCCTCCCCAGGGGGCAGCACTCCCTCGTTACCGACTTGCAGACATTCTAGCTTTCGCTGTCCTCGTACTCTTCCTTCGTGGTTCAGTGGCCAGTGGACCTTGCATCCTGAGGAAAGTACACTGGTGGAAAAGGGACAGGATTCGGCTGGACAACGCTCCAGTAGCAGAGAAACTTTCAGCACCAGAGATGCGCGGACAGAGACACGGGACCCGAGCTGGCGGGAAAAGCCTGCGAAGCACCCGCCGCCATGGCCAGAGACACCTGTGGCCAGACCCGTGCCACGACTAGCCAGGTGTGGCGGGGACCCCGAGATACCCGCGCACACCACGCCTAGGGCCCAGAGCACTCCCTATAGATCTCTATGAGTTCAAGGCCAGCCTGGTCTACATAGCGAGTTCCAGGCCAGCTGAGACTACAGGGAAACCCTGTCTCAAAAAAGATAAAAAACGAAACGAAACAAAAAAAAAAAACACCACAAAGAAATGTGAACTCTGATTCCAAGCTGATATTTTATGGGAGATACTTAAGACACAGATCATTCAGGTCAAATTTACTATTTGACCCATTTCAAAGAGATACAAAATAATAACCATAAAAATCATTTGTTAAGGGCTGGTGACATCGATGGCTCAGAGGGTAAAGGTGCTTGCTGCCCAATCCTAACAACTTGAGTTTGATCCCTGGGATCCAGTTAAAAAGTGGAAAAGGACGATGACTCGATGGTTAAAAGAACTGGCTGCTCTTGCAGAGGACCTAGGTTGGGTATTCAGCACTCACATAATGGTTAACAGTCAATAACTCTAGTTCCAGGAGATCAGATGCCATCTTCTGGCACTGCCTGCATGTGGTGCACTTACATACATGCAGGCAAAACTCTCATACACATAAAGTAAAAAAAAAAATTTTTTTTTGGTCTTTTTGAGACAGGGTCTTCCTGTAGCTCCAGCTGTCCTGGAACTCACTATGTAGACCAGGCTGGCCTTGAACTCACAGAGATCTGCCTTCTTTTTTAAAAAATTTATTTATACACCTACTTCCCAGGTAGTACCCTCCCATAGCCTCCCTCCCCCGACTACAGCCCTTATACTCTGATATCCCTGCTACTATCTGCTGTGTTGTTGGCACCTCCAGCCATTCCCCACTACTTGCCCTTCTGGTGAATCTAGTTAGCCTATCTGGAGGGCTTTGTTTTAGGAAGGTCAGTTGTTCCTCATCTAGTGGTAATCAGTTGTCAATATTCCTTTGGATACGATTGGGGTCTGCTGTTCATTTTCCCAGTTCTATGCTGGGTTACTATCTGGGAATCTCTTTGGCCACCCTGGCCAACAACTCAAAAGAAGGTATCGCTTGTCTGGCATTGTTGCTTGTTATGTAGCCTTTAGCTATACATATGGACTCTTAAGAAGTTATGTTGGCCCACTTAGTCTTTGGTTATACTTCCCTTTTGGGTGTTTAAGGCCATACAGTTGGTCCAGATAAACCGATTTATTTTTACTCTTGAGGTCCTTTGAGGTTCTGTTCCTCAGGGGTCACATGGGCTTGGGAGGAGCCATTGGCTCCTTTCTTTTACCAGTTCTGCCTACAAGAAGATAAGTCAAAGGTCCTGCTCGACCATGTTGGCTTTGCTTGGAAGCATGGAGGAAATTATACATCTGTGGTGACCCTCCTCTTTATAGACTGGACACTGGTTCAAGTCCATCTGGTGGGGTCTCCTCGGCCTCTTTGATCAAGAGGACAGGTGACCCACCACCATTATGGGACATTTTGAGAGATGCTCATAGTCCCCTGGAACTAGTTGACCTAGGAGGGCAAGGAGCAAAAAGTGTCCTTTATGTCCCTCTGACCAAATTATTATAGACCTCAAAGTATGTCTGTTAAACACCCAAGAGGGTTAGTTCCACCAGTCTGGTATTTTTAATTATTGTGTGTCATGTAGATAAATCTTAGGCAAAGATCAGTTGTTCTCAAATAAACCTTACCTAGAGACATGTATTTCTTGATCTACTATGTATAACTTGTTAGTAGGTTGTAGGAGTAATATGGTTCCCTCTGGTTTTCAAAACTAGCTACACATTATTTATCTCTCACATTGTCTCACCCCTCCATCATGGTTTTCCCACTTAAGGTGCTCCCATTTCCCCCCTTTCTCCCTTACTAATACCCTTCTCCTATGGTCCTACCTCTCTTGAGCTCCTTCTTTCCCTTATCCCCTAGGTTCCTTGTATACCCTTCCCTCCCCCCTCCCTTAAACTAACCCAGTTTTTATCCATATCTCCCTTATTAAGGCCTGTTTCCTATTGTTCTTCTCTTTCAGGTTCTTTCTTTTCCTTTACCTCCCTGTTTCCTTTCCATTATCCTGGTTCCTGTAGTTATGCAGTAGATGGTGATTAACACAGAGAACCACAACTGGCCAACATGCAGAGAATTAGAGACTGCAAAGTGATGATTATCCCTGAATAGGACACCTATATCAAACTTCTGCCTCCAAAGGCACAGGGATCATTGTGGAAGAGGTTTAAGAGCCAGAGGTGGTGAATGGCCACAAGGAAACAGTTTTCCAGACAGTTAGGAAGTTACTCATATGAACATAGCAATGGTGACAGCATGTACAAGTACCATGTAAACTCAAGTCAGACAAAATCCTAGAATAGACGTGGGGGAGTGGGTAAGAAACTCCAATCCAACCTGAGAAACTATTGGAAACTGACAGCTGCTGGGAGGGGGAGAGTCAGTGTCTTTTAAGGGTATGATTCTTAGTAGGTGAACCAAGGTCCTGTGGATGGACCCACATCAAAGGACATTTGGGGACATAAATTTAACTCTATAGGCCTTTATATGTATGTATGTATATATGTATGTATGTGTGTATATATATATATACCAATAAAAATGTATTATATGAAATTTACAAAAATTCAATAAAAAGGAAATTAAAATAATAAATAAAAGTTTAACGCCTTTAATCCCAGCACTCAGGAGGCAGAGGCAGGTGGATCTCGGTGAGTTCAAGGCCAGCCTGGTCTACATAGTGAGTTCCAGGACAGCTGGGGCTATAGGGAGACCCTGTCTCAAAAAGACCAAAAAAAAAGTTTAAAAAAGAAATAAAATCTTTAAATATATTTTGTTTATTTGGGGAGGGTGATGCCACAGCGAGTGATTGAAGATCAGATGACAACTTGCAGGGGTTGGTTCTCTCATTCTACTGTGAGGATTCTAGTCATTGAACTTAGTTCATCAGGCTTGGCAGCAAGTGCCTTTACCCACTAAGCCATCTTACCAGGCCCAAATGATATTTTTAGACATGAAGTTCTATCTCAGAGGCATGAGACATAAGATTATAAAAAGAAACCTTTTCTCAAGAAAACGTCATTTTCACAAAGTGATTCTATTTCAGTTCAATTATCAAGAATATTAATCTATAATTTTATGACTCAAATTACCCTACCAGAAACATGCTTCATGTAGCCTAGTATGTAGAGTTATAGACTTAATACTCTCACGCACATAAAAAACAAGTTAGAAGTGTTTTTACCTGATCTTCACTAAATAATATTCCCCGCTGCCTCTGGATCCTCTTCATGAGATCCCCTCCATCACAGTACTCCATTACAATAAGGAGCCTGCTGCTCTCTGCAAGAGAAGGCATTGTTTGGTGCTGGAACCTTCTGATATCCATCAATCACTTGATTTCAAATTCTAGAATGTGAAGAATATTATGGAACAATGCAGTATATAACAGTGGCTGTGACATCAAGATGGACTGGGTTCTAGTCTCACTATACCACCTACATTTATTTTTTGTTTGTTTTGCTTTGTTGAGTTTTTTTTTTTTTTTTTTGGTCTTTTTGAGACAGGGTCTCCCTGTAGCCCCAGCTGTCCTGGAACTCATTATGTAGACCAGGCTGGCCTCGAACTCACAGAGATCTGCCTGCCTCTGCCTCCCAAGTGCTGGGATTAAAGGCATGTGCCACCATGCCCGGCAAAATTTAATTATTTTATTTTATTTTATTTTGGTCTTTTCTGAGACTGGGTCTCCCTGTAGCCCCAGCTGTCAAACTCACAAAGATCCACCTTCCTCTGCTTCCCAAGTGCTGGCACCCGGCTGCTTTGTTGAGTTTTGATAAAGAGCATTTCTGTGCAGCCCAATATCAATTGTTAACATGACAGGATTTGGAATCATATCTATGAGGGAGTTTCTAGGTTACATTAAGGTTGGAAGACCCATACTCAACATGGGTGGGACCATCCCCAGGGGATGATAAACATGAAAAAACCAGCTGAGCACCAGCATTCATCTCTCTCTGCTTCCTGACTGCAGATGAAGTGTGACCAGTCACCTCACAACCTTGTTGAACACCTTCCCTGCCATAATGAACTGTACCCTCAAATTATGAGGGGAAAAAAACCTTCGTCTTTTAAGTTGCTTTGTAAATATTTTGCAACCATGAGAAAAGTAACGAATGTATCCAGGCTAGCTTCAGACTCCTGATCCTCTGCCTAGCTCCCTGAGATGCTGGAATTTTATAGGCTTCACCACCTCTACAGGCCACTTACATCTCTTGGCTCCATGACTATGAGTGAGTTACTTTAGTTTCTCTGTACCTCCTCATCTCTCCTGTAAATGGAAATAATATAGAAACTTCCTCTTAGAGCTGTTGGAGAAATTAATGAGTTCCCCTCCACCAAATACTTAGAACATGGCCTATATATAACCAACAAATGTTAACTATGTGTATTCATATATTCCTACAAGAGACTAGAAATTTGTTGTTCAAATAGGAGTTTTAAAACTTCCCCAACAGCTAGAAAAAATACGCAGCTCCTTTCTGAATCTGGGTACAAACATATACAATATGTTGTTTAACCATGCTGTTGTTACTGCAATAGAACTACATCTGCCCAGCCTGTAAGTCACCAGACTCTCCATTTCTGTAGTGTTCGCCAGTGGCCTGACAGCATCGTCTCTGTCTCTGGTTGCCCCTTCTTTCACACAACACTTCAATTTTCCCACCACCTCTCTTTAAGGGGACAATCCATTTGCTCATCAACTTTTTTTTTTTTTTTTGGCTTTTTGAAGCAGGGTCTCCCTGTAGCCCCACCTGTCCTGGAACTCACTATGTAGCCCAGGCTGGCCTTGAACTTACAGAGATTCGCCTGCCTCTGCCTCTCAAGTGCTGGGACTACACACGTGTGCCACCATGCCCGGCTAACCAACCAACTTTTATAGAGAACATGTGATGAGAAAGGAATGCTGCTTTAGGAATAGCAGTGGGTAAGATGTTCTTCCTGCCATTAAGAAGGCAAGTACGTAGAAAGAGTTGTTCCGCAGCTGAAGTCTATATGCTCTAGAGTCCCAGAATGGAGAAAGCGAGTGAGAATCAGAACCAGGTCTAAGAAGGGAGAGGCACATCCTGATACCCCCTAAAATCTAGTGATCTGATAGGATCTAGGAATGTATTGCTTTTAGGAGAACTAAAACTTATGGCTGTTGGTTTTATTTTTTTAATCTTGCTTTTTGAGACAGGGTCTCACTATGTACTCCAGCCATAAATTTGCAATGCAGTACAGACTGACCTCAAACTCCAAATCCTTCTTCCTTTACTTCCTGAATGCTGAGATTTCAGGCATGTCTTACTACCCCTAGTTTATATCCACTGTTTAACAATGTACAATGTTTGGAAATGCAGAAAGGAGGATATCCCCAAAGGGAAGGCAGGGTAGTGGTTTGTGGACCTGTAGAGACAGTGCTTTTCCTGCGAGTATATGCTAAATAACAGCATAATCTTGCTGATGTCATTAAAATTACTAATCAGCTGGTTTAGAGTAAATAAAAGATTATCCAGGTGGGCCTGATCTGATCACATGAGTCTTTTAAATAAGAATCTAGAGGTCAGAGACAGAAGTGAGAGGTTCCCAGCTCTATTAGGATAGCTGGGCACAAAGGTTCACTTCTCCAAGTAGAGAGTGGCCCCAAGTTAACAGTCAGCAAGAAAGTAGAGACTTAGGTCCTACAATTACCAGTAAATGAACTCTGCTGTCAACCTAAGCTTTGGAAGAGACCCACAAGCCACAGCTGAAAGAGAGGCCCCTGCATGAGCCTTGATTTCAGTTATGTGAAACCCTCTGAAGTCAAGTCCAGATTTCTGACCTACAGAAATAAAGAGATAATACTAGGAGAAGAGAGGGATGAAGGGTGCAAGGGAGGGAGAGGAAAAGGGAGAGGGGGAGAGGAAGGAGGAGGGAGAAGGGGAGGGAGAGGGAGGGAGAGATTAATCCATTAAGTGTGTGGTTACTTGTTTTGCAGCAACAGAAACAAACAAATAAAACAAAACAAAAAAAACAATGCAGGGATTTTTGTTTGTTTTGTTCACCAAAACAGACCTGTATGTTCTAGAATATGCTTAAAATCTAAGAGAAGTTAATAAATATTTACTAACAGAATTTAAATGGAATTAACTTTGCCTTAGGAAAATATCACTACATTCTCCTTATTTTTCTTACACTGCTTCAAATTCATGAAACCTCATCTTTTCATCGGCAAATACTAGGCCCTGGTTCTTGCAGTGAGAGATAAGCTGTTAGGGCCAACAAAGCCTGATTTGCAGACTCTCAGAGCCAGGTGCCACAAGGCTCTTGGATAAGCCTGTGTTTTAAGTATCAACCAGCTGCCAAGCCAATGTACAGGTACCTCAATAGCTCTAGTTTTCCCAAACATGGGGGTGACCTACCTGAGACTACCAACAACAAAAAGCAGTCATAAGCTCAAACCTTTAACATAAACAGAGGCAAGAGAGGTCATTTATACTGTAAAAATGGTCTTAGTTTTAGGAACATATCTGTTGTAAAGTATCTTCAGGAGTCCATCCTGCATGGAATAAAGGCATACTCTATTCTACTAAAATGATTCCATACATTCACTCATTCAGCAACTGTGTATTCAGCTACAATCTGCCATATGTAAAATATCAAAGAGCAAGCGAAAGACATAAACTCCCCCCAAATCATTAAATTTACTGTCTGCATTGTATGTGTGTGTGTGCATGTGTGTGTGGTGTAGTGTTAAGGATCACACCCAGGGTCTCACACATGCTATGCAAGTGTTCTACCACTGAGCAACATCCTTGACCCCCTAACTTTCCTGTCTAAAGGAAAAATATTAGGCAAACTTGTAATATCCTATACATATAGATACATACACATTAGCAGAAACGTGCTGCTGGGAATCCATGAAGAGTCTGTGGTTTAGAAAAGTCTGAGGATTCAGCTAGACAGAAAATCACAATAATAACTCAAAAAGATGGGGAAGAGACAGGAATAACAAATAGAAACATATTTATTCTGTGGCTGCTTTTAGAAGTTATTCAGAGCTCAGAGTGTAGCTCAGAGGCAAAGTACACATAGGTTTGTTCAATCCGAGTGCCCTGACCGTGTGCATTGCTCTGCCCCCAGAAAGATCTCTCAAGAATCTTGAGAGATCTTTTAAATATCCAATCATTGGCTGGCCGTGGTGGCATATGCCTTTGATCCCTGTACTTTAGAGGCAGAGTCAGGTGGATCTCCAGGCCAGCCTGGTCAAAATAGCTAGTTCCAGGCTAGATGGGATTACAGAAAGACACTGCCTCAAAAAAACAAACAAACAAAAAAACAAAAAAACCAACCAAACAAAAAAAAAACAAAAACAAAATCCAATCACTGAAGAAGGGCCATGCAAACAGAACTTCTTTTAATTTTATTTGTTTATTTATTTTGGGTTTTGCAGTAGAGTCCCACTATGTACTACTAGTTGGCCAGGAACACACTATGCAGAGCAGGCTGGCCTTGAACTTGTAGCAATCTTTCTGCCTCTCCCGTTCCTTTCAGCTCTCTCTCTCTCTCTCTCTCTCTCTCTCTCTCTCCCCTTCACTCCTCTCCACCCGTTCTTTTTTTCTCTCCTTTCCAAT